GCTAAAAACAAATCAAAGGCTTAGATTCATTTGTATTTTTCTGAGAATGTGATAATTGATATAAAACATGAATTGACCAGTCAATATAACAGTTATCTCTTGATCAAATAAAATCAACGACTTTGATTCGTATTAAGACATGAAGTGACTAAACAATAAAAGAGATAGGTATTGGCCGCACAGAAAAACCAATGGCTTAGATCCATTTGATTTATGTGAATATGATAATTGATATCAGATATGAATTGACTAATCAATCCAACAGTTAGACCTTGATCAAAGAAATTCAACAACTTATATTGTTTCGTATTAAGACATGAAGTGACTAAACAATAAAACTTATAGATATTGACGAAAAGAAATCAACGGCTTTTGTATGTTTCTGAAAATGTGTTTGATATAAGAAATGAAATGACTAATCAATATAACGGGTTAGATCTTGGTCAAAAATTTCAACGGCTTATATCAAATTGCTTACACTCAAAAATAGATACCATGTTTGGAAAATAAGATGAGTATCACCATCATCTTCTATTTCTTCTCATAATAATGAATTTCAACTACAATAATTCATCTCACTCATATACCATTTTCTATATTCTCTTTCTTTATTTTCACTAATGACTTTTTTATGATGATATATAAAAGTAGGTAGTAGCTCAAATTACTGCAAATAACAATTTTCTCATCACTCAAAACCTATTAAACTCTAAGGACTCCTATGGTGGATCCCTGGGGTGGATCTATTCCACATCATATAGTTTATCAACCATGATAAGAAAAATGCTTCTCACAGTCAGCAATTATTTTGGAGATAATTCTTTGTTTCCTAAGGCAATGTTTCGATGAAGATTTTATATGAGTTATCCTTTGTTTTGTAGCTGCTATTTGTGATCACCTTACGCTAACGATATTACACCGCTACTCTGCATTGTTGAATGCCGAGGATTTCCAGATATGATGGGTAGTTTAAATTGTATAAATTGAAAATGGAAAATCTGTCCATAGTTTGGGGAAGACAATATGCTGATCATTGTCGATTTCCTACGATTATTTCAGAGGCGTAGCCAACTATGATCTTTAGATTTGGTATTCTTATTTTGGTTTGTCATGATCTAACAATGATATTAGGGTGCTAGGAGGGGTCTCATTTTTTTTTCCAATCAAATTGTTTCACCCACTAATTATGATATTAATGGGAACAATTATAATATGAGTTCTTATCTAGCTAATGGTATATATCCATAGGGGTATACTCTTGTTCAAACAATTTATGATCTACATAGTCCTCAAAATAAATTATTTATAAAGAAGCAAGAAGCACGTAGAAAAGGCGTAAAACATGCATTTGGAGTATTGCAATCGTGGTTGGACCATCATACTTTTGGAGTAAGAGCATGTAACATGATATAATGACAACTTGTATCATAATGTATAATATGATCATTGTATCATAATGTATAATATGATCATAGAGTTTGAACGTAACATGATGTTGTTGCAACAATTGAAGATCAAGCCAAATGCCCAACTTCAAAAGTTGAGATCGCAGATGATGATAATGTTCGATTTCAAGAATTCTTTGCTTGACACAAGCAAATCAAGGACTGAAAAATTCATATTGAACTTTGAAATGCATTAATTAAATACTTGTGGTCGATTGTAATTTTATATATAACTTATTATAAATTAGTTTTTAAAATAATATATATTTATCAAAATAATTAAAAATTAGGAAAACATTAAATTTAATAATATAATATTATTATTTTTTAGTGTGAAATTTGGTGTTATGATTGCAGATGCCCTCATTAGCTAGTGTAAGTTAATAACTAATATTGGAAAAACTTACAAGTAGCTAATTAAAGAGCTTATTATGCTTATTGAAACCGTTTTTACCGCAACCAACCACAGATCGGTATGTTATAAGAGGGACCTGCTTAGAAGTGTGCATATCTTTGCACCTCGCGGTAGGTCTCATGTATGACGAGACCTGCACCGAAGAGCAACCGTAAAATTTGACTAAAAAGACTTTGCTCAGTACTCGTGAAGACATGACCAATGGATGAGAATAGCATAGCCAATAGGAGTGAGCGGCCACGAGTATATCAATAGAGGAAGAATCATGAATTGTATTTGGGGATCCTGCAGAAATTCAGAAAAGAAGAAAGAGCTGACACCATGGAAGATTAGAATGGAGAAACCGAAGGTGGTCCAAAGATCTCTAGGGCGAGCTTAGGAAAACCATATGGACATATCACAGAAATTCCAAAGACATTCCTTCACCAGTGAAACCTATCGACGGTATCCCACACAACCACTTCTCCTATGGTCGAGTTCATGAAGGAGAACACCCAAAGTAAGTGAACTCATTACTCTTAACAACAATCTGGTTGAGAGTCTTTCAATCCTCTCTCATGTCGTATATGACCAATCTAGGCCATCACTAAACAAAAATACGAGCATCACGGACAAGATGTTCAACCTAAACCACTTCATATATATCCTCTTCAGTATATATTTTCAGTGTTGTCCATTGTAGGGTTGAGTGGTGCTCGAACTGAATATATATTTCAACTTGAAAGCATTTATGTATTTCAAACCCCTCCCCCCAATATAGGTCAACTTGAAAGCATTAATGTATTTCAAACCCCCCCCCCCCCCCCCCCCCCCCCCCCCCCCCCCCCCCCCCCCCCCAAATTATGTACTGTTATTTGAGTTTCGTAAGTGCATGCTTTCCTAAACAAGTCCATTACTAATTAACTAGAAATTAACCCACGCGTTGCGCAGAATTATGTGTAAATTATTTTTAAAAATTTTATATATTTATATTATCACTATGTTTATTTATTTTTTATTTTATATGGTTTTATATTTACTTTTTTTAAATTAAAAATGTTACTTTTGTTTTTTCAATATTTTAAAATATATGAAATTATTGTAAAAAGATTTTGCTAATAAAATTATGATGTGTTAAATGATAAGAAATATATTCTTATACTTATAAGATGTTATAAATATTTATATTTTTCCATTGAATATCTCTATTTAGTTGGCTTTTCTTTTATTTTTAACTTATTTTTAGTGAGATATGCAAAGTTAATTCACCACCAGACTCACTCACTCTTTTTTCTTCTTATTTGAAACAGTACTCTGAATTTATATTTCGACAAGAATTTGCGAAGCTATTTTGTTTATCCAATTTTTGAATTTATAATTTTATATATTTATATTACTATTATTTTTACCTTTTTTATAAATTTTTGTTCTATTTTTTAATTTCGAATGTTTTTTTTTAGTTTTTTATTATCCTAAAATATGTAGATCTATCATAAAATTGTTTTTTTTAATAAAAATAGTAATATGTTAACTGTTAAAAACTCACTTTTATACTTGTACGTTATCGTATATATCTACATTTTCTCACTGAATATTTTTATTCAATTGTTTTTTTAAAATTACTTATTTTGATCAAGATCAACAGACGAAAATTCACTATCGTTCCCATCAAATCTCTTTTTTTTCTTAATTGAAATCATATTTTTATATTACTATTATGTTTATCTATTTAGTATTTTTTCTGCTCATTTTTAATTTATAATGTTGTTTTAATTTTTTAATGAACCTAAAAATATTTAAAGCTATTGTTAATTTATTTATTTTAAATATAAATTATGATGTGTTAATTGTTTAAAAAACTTGATCTTATACTTGTACGTTGTCGTATGTAAAAAACTTGATCTTATATTGTTACTTCCTTAACTTTATTCATTTTGTATATGCTGCTTATTTTTGAAGAGATTAACAAAATAAGTTAACCATCAATCCCACACATTTTCTTTATTTTTTATTCGAAATAACATTCTAAAATTTTTATTTGCAGATACTTGACATTTTTGTGGCTTGTAAATTAAGTGTTTGTTTTTTAACTTTTAAATTATGTCATATGAATATCCAAAAAATATGTATGTAAAATCCCATTTAAATATAAAAATTATAAAATTTATATTTTGTGGTTTGTAAAATATTTATATACAAAATAAAAGTCCATAAAAAAAATTTACTGATATGGATAGCTTTATTGGAGAGAGATTTGGCTAATTGTATATAGGATTTATAATTTTATCATCGACAACATTAATCAAACTAGGTTTGGCCCGCGCGTTGCGCAGAGTTATTTGTTAATCTATGTTCATACTTTATAGTTTTATATATTTATATTATTATTATGTTTATTTTAATTTATTTATATTTTGTATAGTTATTTTAATTTTTTAATTAAAATTATTATTATTATTTTTATCCTATAATATATAGATATATTATGAAGTTATTAACATGTGCTAATTGTTTAAAAACTTCATACATATTTATATGACATCATAAGTATAAGTTTTCCACTACATATATTTCTGTTCAATTGGTCCATACTTTTTTTATATTGCTTATTTCTGGCAAGATCAACAATTTCAATGCTTTAAATTGAATAACTTCTTCATTTTTCATAAATTTTGGAAAATTTTAACTCATTATGAAGCACAAATAGTCATGCATTTATTATTATTATTTTCTTCATATAGATCAAGTTCATTTCATGCTATATGATTAAACACTTTAGTCTTCTTTATTCATATAAAACTTTTATTTACTTTCACACTAAAATAGATATGAATGATTTTACTTTATATATATATATATATATATATATATATATTCCGTTTTCTTAAGTTTGATAACTCTGCAAGTTCTTCCGTAATCTTTCGTATTTGTTTGCATTCCAACTTTTTTTCCACATTCTCTTTGTTTATATTTGAAATAACATGTTGATTTTCTTTTATTTAGTAGAGAATGTGAGTTTTTATGATTTATAAAATAAGTATTTATTTTATATAAATAATTTTACTTTATATATATATATATATATCTTTTTAAATTTTTATTTTTTTTAAAGTTTGATAACTATGATTCGCAAGTTTTTCTGTCATGTTTTGTATTTGTTTGTCTTCCAACTTTTTTTTTACAATTTTTTGTCTTTTATTCTAAATAATATTTTTACTTTTTTATTTTTTATGATTTGTAAAATAAGTATTTGTTTTTTTCACTTTTAAATTTATTTTGTATAAAGGCCAAAAAAATACAAACCTAAAATATATAGAAACTAGTAAAAAAAAATTACAATATGTAGAAGTCCATAAAGAAGCCCAAAAATGTGCATAAAAATAAATTTACATTAGTTATTATATGAAAACCCAAAATACTTAAAAGCCCAAAAAATAAAAATAAAATACTGATGTGGACATTTTAGATAGAGAAAAACTTCTCTAATTATATATTTATATGATTTTCATATTTTGGAATAAATGATTGTTGTTGTTTATACACTTGTTAGAAATGTAATTAATAATAACAGAAAACAAAAAAAAGCTACTAATCTGCATAAACTTGCTTTTAGCCAAATGTATAATTTATCTTACAAAATAACTTATTCAGCCTTCTTATTTCCCGCTCCACTTTATGGAATCCGTTTATTACAATCCGAGAAACATACAAAAAGTTACAATAGACACTTTCACTTGACCATATATAAGACCAAAAAGCGACCAAATATTAAGATTACAGTCTTTTAGACCCCAGTAAGTTAGATTTCGTACTGGCATTTTTTCACCGGCCAGTTTCACAGATTTGGCAAATGGTGATCGACTTCGAATTTACATAAGTGCAACGTTCACAAGACCAGTGGCTGCTCGCTCGGGAAGTTGATCCTTTGTTTTTCCCACCTAAGCCCTTTGAACTCGAGGTTCGGTCATATGCGCCATGCGAGCTCACATCCGGTAGCCCATTCTCCAGCGCTCGAACTAGGTTCTCGAAATAATTTTTGGTGACACTGTTTTCAATCCCAGTAAGAAAAAAAGTGTTACTACCTTCTTCCATCACACAGCCAAACTAAATATAACTCCCATCACACAGCCAAACTCACAGGCCTGCGACTGTTAATCGAACCGAAAGGAACCGAGATTTTTAGTTTTGGTTTTACTTACTTCAAGCTAATCGACAAAATTTCAAAATTGATAAGTTATTGGTTCGGTCGATCGAACCGATCGGTTAACCATATTTTATTAAATAAATTTCTAAACCAAAATATACCGAACCATAAAGAATTATACCAAATATTCAAAATTATCAAAAATCCTAACCGAACTAACTGAAGTTATCCGAATTTACCCAAACTTAACCGAATTTGAACCAAAAAATCGAAAACTTTGGTTAAAATCGGTAAAACATTTAATACCCCTATAACTGACCGAAACATAATTTATTTTGGTTATATTCGGGTAGAAATTTTCTCAAATTAAACTACCCGAACGAAATATCAGAAACCGAACCTACTCAGCAGTCAGCACTATGTGGTTTGCGAGTGGATCATAACTTAAAGCTTCGTTGAATTTTTTTTTTTCAGGAACAACTAAAAATATTTACTGACACGAGCATAAACATAAAATGCCACTATTTAGCTTATCGGTTTTGTTCTGAGGTTTGGAAATTACCTGGTTAAACCTGCGAGTTTTGTGCGGAACTCGTTAAAATCTTCTGATGGACCTTTGGCCTCAAAGTACAATTTTAGTTCTTTTTCAGCACATTGATGAAGACGTTCAAGGCCTGACTCAGCTTCACCTATATATGCATGATAACAGACGAAAAGAAATCAAATGATACGAAGAATAAAGCCTGTTACAAACAGAAGTTTACATACCAATTAACAAACTGAGATTAGCGGGTCAAAAATGAAGCTGAACTCTGACCAAATTGGTTAATATTCGGATTAAGCTGGACCAGTTTGTTATTAAATACGCTTGACCATAGAGTCCACATTATCTCACATAGGGCACATCCTAAACCATTATCTAACAAAGGGCATATCCTAAACCATTCGCCATCTTACTAAGAGTACATCATGTTCTATAAAATCAAGACCAGATCCATCAATGCATTTATGAAACCCTATATGTCCAACAATCGGAAAAGATAAAAGACTAATGATGGTTCTTAAATCTTTTGTACTTATTTCGTGCATGAACATTAATTGGTAACTGTGATCGCTCTTGTTTCTTAAACCGGCAATTTTCCAGTTCAAAGATCATGTTTGCGGAGTAAACATTCATATTTTTTTGTCAATTTATGTTCAACTGTTCGTGCTTTGGAAATATCAATACAGAGAACAACACGCACAGAGGAATTAAAGAAAAGTTAATGTTAGATGTGAGAGTTATATTAAGTTACCTTGTAAGTACTCAAAAAACTGTCTCTTGCCATGCTCATGGTCAGGTATGTAAAAACCATAGGCATATGTCCATTTGAGAACTCGTCTGCATTCGACTATCTATGGTTGCAGAGAAAATGAGTGAGCCAAAACCAAAAGTCTAAGACATGCCACAGGATTAACGGAATTTACCTGTAACCACGCTTCAATAATGAACTTCAGTTGAGATTCAGGCTGACACTGTATGTCACTGAGCTTCTCAATCTGTCAAGTCAATTGAAAAAAACTTTAGCGAAACCAAACATAATAAAAAGTAAGAACATTCAACGAAAGTTAAAAGTGTCATGCATGGCAAAATAGATAACCAATAACGGCATATATGCTATCTCTAGTAACAGATCATCGTGTTCTTAAGCAAACTTTCTGAACTTCATTGGGTAATGGGTATAAAATCTTAAATGACCAATTCGGTAAAAGAACCAGCGAGACGATGAAAGAGGAGAAAAGACCAACGATAGTTCTACAAATTTCACAGTATTTTGTCATCAAAGCAATCCTTCCTTAATGATTCTTATTTACATCAGCAAGTGTTGCAATGTAAGCTCACATCATCTGTTTGCATCTTCTTAAGATCCGCCAGCGCCTTTTGCCTAGACTGCAACAAGCAGTGATAACATTTGTAAATCATTTTAGAATAAATATCAATGTGTTTTATATACAAAAATCATTCTTTTTCAGGGTCATTTCAATAAAGAATACATTTTACCAAAAAAGAAACATGAAACTTCTCTAAGCCTAATTTTATGCTTAATATGACACACAATTTTAGAACAGTACTTTGCTCCTGCAGTTACACGACTTGTTAACTACCTGTCACTCCAGTAGAAGAATTTTCATAATACCCAAGCCACCAACGAACATAAGCCAACCAATAAATAAACTAGCGGGTAGAAATCTCCTAGATGGAGGAACAACGGTTCCTTCTCCAACAAATACATCACAGTCACTACATGTACCTCTAAGGTTCATAGCATCTTTAATAGAGAATACAAATCAGTCAGCTTCACTCCCCTAATTTTCCAAAGTTCTCAACCATAATATAGATTATCATATCGCATGGTACTCTTAACTCTCTAAGTCAAACAATTATAACCATTTAACTTTAGATTACTCATGGTGCATGAAGAGATTTTTTTTGTTCCATAGCAACGAATTTATTTGACTGGTGAAACTCTCTTTCTTAAATTCCCCATTTAAGAGGAAGCTAAATTATATAATACCTCTGCATATTAAATCAGCACAAATCTACATACCGATTGATTGGTTGCCCATCTTTCATAGTAGTGGGTATATCTCTCAAGAGAGTTCTTTGCCATCTCTCGGCGTTTTTCAGTCTCATCATACTGCACAGAAAGATTAAAAAGAAATAAAATGCGTCAAAGATAAAATCGACATATAATTTGTCAATCAGGAGTAAAATCAATGTACAGCACTCATACAATGCCATCTTGCTTCGCTGCTTCATAGCGGTTACAAGCATAAAAGCCACCAGTCTTCTCACCATGCTCTGACCATGATCCAAGGCACAGCCTACATTTATATAATACAAATACTTATAACGAAAATTGATTGGGAGCAACAATGAGTTTTACACAACCAGATTCCTATGAGGATAATTAAAAAGACACAACCATGCAGAAAGAAGATTAACACAGTTATAAACCTAAAATTAAAAAGAAAACACTTATTTTCTATATTGCTTCAGAGTTAAAAGTATAAAACATAAAAATTCAATTCAGAGTTAAGATTCATGACATGATGGCATTCTGTACAATCAACCAACTTACCAGCAGAACTCAAATTTACATGGCGGGGTGCATGTAATATGCATACAACCCTGGTTTTTCTCTATTGGCCGTTTACATCTTGGACAGGGCTTAGAATTTGCCAAAATCCTGAAAGCCAAAATGGAATTTAGCAGCAACGATAAATAATGCGGTGCATGATGCATCCTAATCGTAAAGAGATAGATGAGAAGAAACCGAACAGACTTTCTTCTAGCATTTGAAATGAAAACGTATCCACTGTTTTGGCTCCCTTTGGCTATACAAAACGGTAGCCATAACTATTTTAAGAACTCTAAGCACCCATTTTTAAGGTCGAGCACAACATCTTAAACAACTTAAGCATCTACATATCTCGATGATATCTGACAAATCAACGTACCAATTCATATTCTCAGACTCAGCGCTATTCTTCAATACCCACTTAGAAACGGTGTCACAGTCTACAGGACGGTGAGCTTCTTCAGCACACTGCAGTCCCATGACGATCGAGTCATACAGTATGGTTGTGTCAATTAGTTTCTACGAAATGGAAAGATCAACTATTCTAATTTTATCTGAAAGAGCGACTTACATTCCAGCAGAAACTGTAACAACAGCGACAATTCACATCATAATTACCACTCCCAACAACAAAGTTTACTGCGTACTCACAGCCTGGAGCGGGACACCACTTGGTCTACAGAAAAAAAAAAAGATGCATTACTATCTCGGCGAGCACATACTTTTGTATGCTGCTTTTCAATTTTCATTTGAAGGTTAATAAAAGACAAAGAAACATTACGCACATGTCTTAAGTCCGATCAAACCAAAATTGATAGCTTACCTTTCTGTTGTCTTCAACATATGATCTGACAAAATAACTTGTGTACTTCTGCCTATCTTTCGCAGGAGCTAGCAAATTGATCATATCCTGACCAATAGCAGCATTACAAGAAGGATCTGGACATTGTAACACAAGACACCCTGGACCATCATTAATCGCGGTGGTGATATAACCTAAAGATGGAGGAAAAGGTCAGAAAATGGAATCTACAATGAACCATCGGCCATCGCTAGCAGTAATGATTATATGCTGCATTACTCGAAAAGGAATCTACATGAAAGCTACCAAAAAACAAACCTTCCCAGCATGACTCGCAAAACGGATGACCACAAGCAGCAGCATGCAATTTGTCAGAAAGGAAATCTTCGAAACAAATTCCACAAGTAAGCTGCCAAAATGAGAAAGAAACAAGTATAAACAAAACCAAAGAAGAGCAGAAAAAAACCCAACTTCAATATATTTCTGAAAAATGTACAATGTTAAAAAGAAGCTATGAAAAGCATACTTCTCCATCAGTTGGAAAATCAACAACAGGTTTCTCCAATAAGCCAACAGCTTCTCGGACCTTTGCCTCATCAGCAAACCATTCATCATGAACTCTGCTAACACACCTAAACATTGGCATAACGGACTGTTATTAATATTATGGACAAAAAATAAACCTCCACACAGAAACAAAAGCTGAAGTTCGTCTAAACACAGCTACACAAGCTGAAAATGCCTGAAAAAGACAGAATTTGGAATCACCAATTGTAGTGACGAAGCAGGATAGCAGATGAAATTCTTGAAATCGACAATACAGAAGAAATCCTGGAGATATCATCTTCTTGAAGCTTACATATATCTGCCTCGCTTAGCACAGTATAATTTTGCTACAAACCACGAAAAGAAAAAAAGAAAAACTATCAGTAAAAGGACAATTTCTTCACGAACGATTGCGATGAACATATCAACTCTTCAAAAAAAAAGTTGAAAAATCAGCTAAATTCTGTAAATTCCTCATTGAATCATCACCAACATTAACAAAAAGGTCCTGCGATTTTTTGAAACCAATAACTTGGATACAGAAATAAATTTGTAAGGGCAAGAGGTGATTGATCATCCCGAAACGAGATATAAAAATCGATTTTTGTTTATCTTTCTACGAGATACAGATCCAGAAGATGAGAAAAACAAAATGAAACCTGGCGGCGGCGGAAGACGAGGTCATCGGAATCATCAAGGTCGTCTTCGACGAACTCGTAGTCGGCGTCGACGCTATCGGCGTAATCGGAGTCGTTGTCGGCGTATTCGGTGCCGCTGTAGAAATCGTCGTCAGCATCCATTGAAGTTTCTTGGCGATTCGATTTCAAACACTCTTTGATTTTAAAACGAAAAAGGACGTTTCGAAGGCAAAAACCAATTAGAAATTGAAGAATGGCAAAAGTGTAAATTAAGCTTTAACCAACAAAATTAATTCACTTTTTAAAATAGAATTAGCTGGTTAGCGTCATTCTAATTTTATCGGATGTCACAATGATATACTATCATTTTTTTTTGGAACGATTGAGGTTTATTAGCTTAAAAAAAACTAATTAGGAATTTTTCCAGTTATGCTCGGTTATATTATTTTTTACTATTTTAATAAAAGAAAAATAATATTATAATAGTATTTATGATTTAATAAATTTTATAGTAAAGAAATATGATCAGAAGCACATAATCTTTTAAACTCTTACTATTAAAGCCAGAAACACAGCTAACCACTCTGAATTGGCAATAGTCCTATTAAGATAACATTTAACTTTATGTTTATCTCTAAGATAGATGATTTCCTTTAAAATAAAGGTCAGATAGATCGCAAGAGTTATACATATTCTTAAAATTTTGAAAAGTTTTCTCATCTTGTTTTGTATCACCCTTCTTCTTATTATTAGACAATATCTTATTAAAATCACCTATGATGTCGTAACGATTAGTTTAGTTCTCCATAGACACAAAACAAGTAGTAAATCATCTATGATGTCGTAACAAATAGTAAATCACCTATCTTTGTTCTAGAAAATAGCTAGACCACCACTATGATTTTGTGAAACAGAAATCAAAACCTAAAACAGAACAAACATCCCTAACAAGATCACACTGATTCATAGTTTCCATGAAGAAAAGCATATCTGGTGTAACCTTCCGACAGAGTTCTTTCAATCTGGATTTTGTCAGGAGAGATTCAAGGCCTTGACAATTCCAGGAAATTATCTTCATGTTGTTCTTCTGAGGCACAAGGGGACTGATTCCCCTTGGATTGTTGGCTTATAAACGCTGAATGATCCTTCTGATGCGCTTGATGTGTCCTTATTGATCAAAAACAAGTCCTTCTGGTCAGTGTCAAAGGTCATTGGCAACGCTTGGCGGCATCATTTTGCAAGTACACGGTCTTCGTTTGCAGGAATTACACGATGTGCATCCAACTTACGTTTGCATCCATAAGTGGTTGTGGGATTGTTAATTTTCGTACAGACAAAAGCATCAAAGTCTGAAGGCATCACAGAAAACTCCTGGTTCCTGAAGTCCTTCCCTCTAATATTGATCCCCAAAATATGTGGCGGAGAGTCTTCTGTGTATCCTTGGTCGTATGATGGCGCCATAAAGGTAGATTATGCATTATCAAAATTGGCGTAGCATGGATTCCACCTTTGCCCGCTTGGCCGAGTTAAAGCTAAAGTTTTTCTTTTGATCCATGTAATCTTGTAGAATAGTAGCAAATTCGCCTTCCGTGAATTTTCTCTTTTCGAGTTTTGCTTGAAGGTACCTCCATGTCTCAGCAACCATGTCCTTGTCTTTTCTGATTTCAAAAGGTGCATTTGTTGAGTCAGAGTCGTGTCGTCTGGGAGAAACCGTCAGCTGATTGTTAAGGTTTTGTTCTGCATCGTCAGGATGGTTGGTGTACTTGCTGAGGATATCACCATAGAGATCGTTGTCATCATCAGCATTGGGTGGATCATCCTGGACTCCGCCATCAATGAGTGTAGGACACTCTTTTACCTTGTGCGTCAGTGTACCACATTTTATGCAAAAGTTGCGAAGCATTTCAAATAGAAATTTCAGGGTTGTGTTATCTCCTGGGACGAACTGAAAATTCCTTTGAAAGCAAAGTGGAGTCTCGATACTCTAGTTAAGTTTGATACGAACGAAGTCGATGGCTTGAATAGCTTCGTTGAAGTCGATATCGAGTACATATCCCAGAAATTCAGCAATGTAATCCACTAGACGACAGTTCAGAAATTATGGTGGAATACCACGCACTTGAATCCATAATGGAATGAATTTAAAATCCACATTGTCTATTGCTGGTGTCCATTTGTGGATGACAAGCATCCATGTGTTGAAAGACCAAGGATCCCTTTGCAGTATCAAATTTACAGCCTCTTTTGATTTTAGTTCAAATTGAAACTTGTCTTTATCGAAGATTCTACTGGTAATAGAATCGCTCACCAGCCTGCCAACAATTGCAAATCAGTTTGTTCGTGCCACTTCATCGCAAATTGATATTAGTAACGCAATTTGGGCATCATCAGACCCCAGTTCTATATTTTGTTTGCATCTTCGTAAATTCTTGTCTATCATGCCAAAAGCAACCGAGCAAACGTGAAATTGATGAAATTTTTTAAAAATATAAATAAAAAATCTTCCATAGTGATGTTAAAAAACAAAACAATGATAACTGCAAGAAAAATTACTCAACAAAATTTAACTGTCAGACAACAATAAACCTCTGTTGAATTTGATGGGAAATTGTGTTCATCGTCAGATTCGCAAGAGGACGGAGAAAGAGGGAGAGTGGAGAGAGAAGGAAGAAAAAAAAGCCATGTATGAAAATAATCACTGAGATTTTCATACTTATATATGTAATTATCACTTGAAAAGACTGTCTTTGTAGTTAAAAAAAGTTATTACATAACCGAGATACTTTTGACCGAAAAAAAGAAAAAAAGAAAAAAAAAAAAACCGAGATACTAAGGTTAAGACGAAGGAGTTCATAAACAAAAAGGAAAAGACACGTAGGGAGAAGCTAATTACTACCAATGCATTTGTCTTTTGTCTTAGCATTTGCAAATTACCCAACCAACATTTTAGCTGCGGTAACGGTTTTTTTTCACCATCCACCACTGCTCTTATGACCGCCGGAATCACCTCCCCAACCACTGTCTCCACCGCTCTTTTTACCACCAGACTCATTTCCCCACCCGCCGCCATCTTCACCGCTCTTTTTACCACCAGACTCATTTCCCCAACCACCACCGCTAGAACCGCCTCCCCAACCACCATCCTCGCTGCTCTTTTTAACTCCAGAATCGTTTCCCCAACCGCCACCACCAGACTCACTACCCCATCCGCCTGCACCATCACTCTTTTTACCACCAGACCCACTTCCCCAGGCGCCACTATTGCCCCCACCACCGCCACCAGCGCTAGACTCACTACCCCAACCACCTGCACCGCCACCACTACTTCCCCAATCTCCATTTCCATCTTGTCTTTCATTGTTATCATCCCTCCTTCCTCTGCCTCGACCACGACCACCAAACGGCCTTGGCGCTCCACTTGGATGCCCATCGCCACGTCCACCACCGTTTCGGTAATCGCCACCTCTCCCTGCAACACATTTGCACAATGAGTGAACATGCAGCAGAATCAAACTCAGAAAACAGACACAGTTTTATTATATATAAATGCTTCTCTGCATCCAAAAGCCAGATTGCTGAAGACTTAAGGTATAACAAAAGCCTGAGAGAGTCTGATAAAAGCTGTTACCTGGTCTTGGTCCAGATGCGCGATCTGAGTTTCCTTTCCAGCCTCCTTCACTCTGAGAACCACCACTCCAACCACTTCCAGAAGAGCCACGGTCTGCTGGGCTTCTCATGGGCACCATGGCAGCAAGAGACCTGATCGATTGACCTGTTTCCTGCAACGGGTCATCGATATGCCTCTGAAAGTATGACACAAGCCTGTCAATGTCTTCAAACATCCTTTTCCTGAACTTGAATCCCTTAGGGTAAAGACCAATATACTCGTGATGTGGATTTGTGCTCCTTATGTAAGTCAGTATAAAAGTTCCTGGATGTTCGTGTGAAATCCCAAAACAGTAAACTATCCTTGCAGGATTTTCACCCTTCTCGATCTTGAGAAGCTCATCAACTTCTGGTTTCGTCCCTTTTCGGAACTTCCGATAATTAAGCATTGTTTTGAGATGAGAGACCAGAGGATCAACATACCGATCCATGACCTGCAGTTATGAGATGGTATTTGTTAACGTTATATAAAGACACCGAATTAGTTCCAAAAAGCTTGCAAAAGATTAAAGAAGTTGAAGAATCAAATACATTGTGTTGACTGACACTACAATTAGAACAAATAAAAAGATGTACCTCATCCAGATCCTCGAAAGTGTCTTCTCCAATTTTCAGGGTCTTCCCAATACACTGAAGGCTTGTGATATCCTTGTTTTCTTTCCCGCCTTCAACTATCTCCTTGTGTGCGTAAACTCCATCATAAATCTTGAGGGTCAACGTCAGATAATTGAGTCCTCGAGAACTTGGACGAACAATGCTTTCTCCAAAATCTTTGTCAGACAAATACTGAGAAGATCGATCACAGCATCAACAAGTAAACTAAGATTTCGTTGACAAAGAATACAACAGCATAAAGTGTAAGTATCATCTTAAGAACTTTAAACATAGAGTAAAATATTCGCACACCTCTGTTGCTTGGTCAGCAGTAATATTCTGGAAACGGGGATGCACAATCATCCGAGACTTAAAATGCTTCTTCACCAGCTCCTTCTCCTTTCGAGCTTTCTCTCTTTCAATCAGGAGACTGTTTCTATCCTCATAATAATAAGGATCTAGATTCTGGTTCTGCTGGTGCCTGTTATTTCTCATTTCGCTTTCTTTGCAAATAAGGAACACTTGATACCTCTGCTTTTGAATCGATTTGATCTTGCAAGTAAGGATTTCGCCTTCTTTCAGTCGGTCCGACAACTCAACAATATCTCTCCCATCATCTGCAAAATCTTCCTTCATAAGCATCCCAGTTAACCCAGAATCTAATACACATATGGCTCTTCCACCCTGCAATCTCCGAACAGTGGCCTGGACAATTCTGCCCTCAGCTATGGTGTCTTCAGTTTCACCTGAGATCATGCAAAATTCTTCATCCGGACTTGGATCTTTAAACGGTATCCGCCAATCCTGGAAACCACAGCTTAGTTCTCTCATGATATTACTGTAAGTTTCCTTCTTATTCTCCCGTTTCTTGCTTGCAAGATACTCATCAAGGACAACTTTCCTCAAAGAGGCTGGCCGATCTCTCACATGCTCTATTGCCATCTCTATCGCATCCTCATCATCGTTGGAATCACCTCTAACATCCTGGTCATAAATATCCTTCGCTAATTCTTGTGCAAGACCATATGATTCAGGATGTATCCTGG